GTTATGTTGACAGATGCCCAAGTTTATTGTATGACGTCTATGATCTATTTATTTCGACCATCACTTATCGCTAAAGCCATCTATAGGAAAACGGCGGAAGCAAAGTTGTACACCTAATATCATATTAGAAAAAATGAAAATAATAATTTTTGCAACTTTTATTAATAGAATTATGTATAATATCTACTTTGGGAAAATTATGAATATTTTTTACATTTAATATTATAGATATAATATTTTAATGCGTAATTAATTAATCTTATTGTTCTTATTTCCATAGAATTGTCTCTTGAAAGAAACAAAATAAAAGAAATATATTTAATCTAAAAGATAATTTTAAACATTTAAATAATTTTTTTATATTTGACTCTATAGAATATTTGTTATCAAAAATAAAAAAACGTAAATACATAATGTCAATATGGAAAAGAATTATTCATGACTAGTTAGATCTCAAGTACTCTTGTATAATTCTGTGTGATTTTATATACTATGTAAGAGCAACGAATTATTAAATTGCTAGTCAATTTAACTCATATTACTGCGATAATTCAGTAAAGTTTCAAGATTGAAAACTTATTTCAATACGCAGTTTAAAAGATTACATACTTAGTATGTAAATTCACACAGAATTATACAATCATTATTATATAACCATTTATTCAAAGAATGAAAAGTTTAAATCAATTTCTTGTTTGGATTATTTGACTATTCTAACATATTTTTTGTCTAATATCTATTTAACGTTTATTAAGAATTTGTTAAGAAATAAAATTTTCTCAGAAATTATTAGATATCATTTTTTAAAATTATAGTTGCCATTTTTCTCGGTTTTCAAATAAATTCAAAAAGTAAAAGTAAGAAATAAATTAATTTTTAATTTATAAAACACATTATTAAAAAAATACAGTAAACGCATTTTAAAACTCTTAATGATCTATTATTTTTGTGTATGAGTGTTTTTCTTAATCCTTTTTTTGTATCATTTCTATAGAAATATTCCTCAAACACAGATACATGAAAGATTAAATATATGAAACAATTCAAATTATTTTTAGGAATGAAAATAAAAACCTTTTTTCATTTATATTAGATTGTTTCTATCTACTAATAATAATAATTTGATTTTTAATTAAATAAATATTTTTTTTTGTTTACAACTCTATCTGTATGAAGATTATTTTGAAATTATATTAAATATTTCGTTTTTTAATTTTCATTATTAATTGTAATATAATAAGGATAGAATATGTCGATTTATTTATAAAAAAAATATTAACTATAAAGATTCACAATTAATGAGTAGAAAATCTCGAAGAAATAAATTTAAATTTAGTCGTATTTTGTCTTTTAAAATTATTTGAATTATGTTTTATGTATTCTTTTTATAGAACGGGCAAGGGATAAATATGCATTAAATTATTATTTTTAACTTACAACTTACGTTGTATATTACCTTTGTGCAGATCAAAATACAATTGATTCGCAATAACTATAGTTGATTAATTATAGTTCTCAATCTTTTAATATTAGAAGCACGTCAGCGTAATTGTAATGTCGTCAGATCATCTTGCTATCTCGAAAGAGAATCCCGACTGAGCATGTACAATGTTTCTGATGCTGTAAATATGTCGTAAGGTCAATATAAAAGGTAAACTTTACCAAATTTGAACTGTCAATTTTTTGTCGATAACAAATATTGGGACTCAACGAATTATAAACAATTAAAAATAAGAAACTTTCCATAGAGAAATTATATAATGATGATAATTTATTAAATATTAAAAGTAAATTAATAAGATTATTTTCGACAGTATATCTTCAGTAGATCTTATTTTAATAGCAGAAATTTAATATTCAAGATTAAGTCCAAGAGACATAGTAGTGGCGCTAAAATTATAATATATATACATATAATGAGAATAGGAAAACTGATATATATTTTCAGATTTTTTGCAATATTTTTAACAATTAGAAATAATTGGTTCAAATAGTTAGAACAATTGAATAGAAAAATGTATTTAATAATAATTATGCTGTATGATTATAAAATAAAGATTTTGATTTTATAATCAAAATTTTTTTCCGAAAAATATATAATTAATTAAAAAATATATGCTGTTAAAATCGTCATATTATATTATAGAAGAGAAGAGAGAGAGAGGGAGAGAGAAAGACGAGATAGGGGGGGGGGGGGAATCTGATTAAAACTACAATAAAATAAATTCAGCCTAAATAACTTTCTATATCATAAAATTCGCGTTTAAAAAAAATACATAACTATTTACAATAATCAATAATTTATAATAATCAATATCTAATATATTGAGCATTGATACAATTAATTATTTATATTTTAAAATAGATTTAACTGTGAGAAAATAAAGAAGTATTTCCAGATTTTATAAAAACAGAATAAAATTTTGTGAAATGTCAAAAATTTCAGAAAATATTTTTATTGTTTTCAATTAAATATATCGTTTTTTTTAATTATTTTAATTATTTAATTATTTTTTCTAATGTTCAAGAACAGAACAGAATAATATACATATGTTATTTTTAAATTTATTAAATATATTCAATAAATGCATCTCATAAAATATTATAATTGTATAAAGACAGTTTTTGTCAATTTTTTAAAAAATATAATTGTTTACATATATCACATGGATGTCCAAACATCCATTGGCATTATCTTCTTTAATAAAGAAGAATTCAGAAAATTGGTGACATCAAGACTATACATTATATAATCTTTTAGATATTACAATCCAGTAAAACATTTTTCATATAAGAACACATAAATATTTACAATTATTTTATATAAAATAATAATTA